ATAAAAATAAAGATTAGGAATCATGAATTATTATTAGATTTCTATATCACCTTTATTTATACAGCTCAAAGTGTCATACATAATGCTTCTGCCTATTTCCTCACAAGCATCCCATAAGCTGGGTTGAACTGAATAAGAGCATCCAGTCCAAAATCACCCAACCAAGCTTTAGAATAGAATAGAATAGAATAGAATAGAATAATTTATTGGCAAAGTGCAATTGGACACACAAGGAATTGGTTTTTGGTGCATATGCTCTCAGTGTACATAAAAGAAAAGATACATTCGTCAAGAATCATAAAGTACAAAACTTAATAATAGTCAGAGTACAAATAAGCAATCAAATCACATTATGAAACAATCAATATAAACCATAAGGATACAAGCAACAGTTACAGTCATACAGTAATAAGTGGGAGGAGATGGGTGAGAGAACAATATCTAATAAAGGACCAGGATTCAGAGACCCTTTGAGAGCTGTATGCAATGAAATTTTAATGTATGCCGATTAGTGTATATTCAAAATGACAATAAGGGTATTCTAAGTCTAAATCTAACTTTTGCTGGACAAAGACCCCTTGCTTTTTTCTCTCTGAAAATGTAAGAATTCGCATTTAATGCTTCCTACCTAGTTTATACTATTATGTAAAAGTAAAAAAGGTTTTTAAAATGCATTATACTTCCTTCCATTGCTTTTAAAATCCATTCCCTGAATTTGGGGAACAGTTTAAGCAACTTTTTTAATGTTTTTAATTGCAGCGTCTCGGGTGAATATTGGCATCCTCTGCAACTGTTACTCATCTCCCCCTAACCTCAAAGTAACCTGCCCCCTCATTTCTATTTTAATTCCTGATATCCTATGGTTGCATTCATTTAATTGCAGGTGACTTCAGCTACTACTCCTCCCCCTTCCCGCGAGTGATTTTCCCAGAGACTCGGAAGTTACGCGCCACCAAGTAGCGCTCACTTCTCATCTCTCCTTTATTTACGTCGTTTTCTTCTTCTCCTAATTGTTAAGCCTACGCAATAAAGGTGGGAGGAGCTCTGCCTGACTCTCGGGGTGGGGGGAGCAGTGGAGGCCACGAAGTCCGCCTGCGCCGTCGGTTGAGCAGGCGCTCTTTGTAGTCAGCCGGCCCACAATGCTTTTCGCCTCGCGCAAGGGCGTTCTGGGTCTCTGAGACGATGGTTAAATAGCCGAACGCCGCGCTCGGCAAATGGCGGCCTCGGGGAAGGTGGCTATTTTCCGCCTGCCGGTCCTTCCCACCATTGGGGAGATCATCAAATTGTTTAAACTGAAAGCTACGAAGCAACTGTCTCAGAACTTTCTGTTGGATCTGCGCCTCACAGGTTGGCGTTCGCGGCGTCTCTGGCGTCCTGGGTGTTAACGGAGGTTCATCTTGAAAGGGCGATGGCTGCTCTGCTGACCTGAGAAAAATGTTCCGCCAATATATTCCCCCCCCCCCTACCAATTTGCGGCTCCCTTAGATACGCCGGAATACCCTTTCCATCATCCCTGTCCTGGGCGGGGACGATTGGAGTTGTAGTCCAACCATTTGGGAAGCACCGGGTCGGTAGAGGCTGAGATAACTGTCTTTTTAATCTCAGTTGATTGGATGTTTTTTCTAGTTGGCAAAAGTGGCAGTGCTCTCTCCTAAGGTAGAAAGAGCGAATTAGATGGTGTAGAAAATGTGCGTTAAATCACACAGCACACTACAGAATATGAGTTTTTAATCTATCTCCCCCCCTTTTTATTATTTTTCCTTTTTTGGGATTAAATTGTATTGACGCAAAAGTGAAAGAATGACATGCAAAATGACACTCTTTTACATTTGCTCGTTTCTTGTTTCTAATCTATTTTCTAGAATTAACTTCCCATTCAGATTTTGGATAGGAAATAAAAGTTGGGCCTTTGCTGATTTTTTCTCTTAATAACCACCTTAACTTTTTTCTTTTCTGAATATGAATATTTAAAGAATGCCCATAGAAGTAGTTATCTGTGCTTTGTTTTGTTATTCTGGTTTCTTTATCTGAATTAATCCACTTGATTGTCTCAAATAATCAGCAAGATAAACCACATTGTTAATATGACAAAAAAAATATTTCAAATTGTTGGAGGCATACATATCACTTTTTAACTTTTAACTTATCAATGCTGTGCTCAAAAGAATGAACTTACTTTTGGAGCGCAAAAAACATGTGTACCACTGTAATATTATCATAGTAAATGTATAATCTGAAGACCAAGTAAATGTAAATTATCGTAATTTTCACTAGTTATGCTATACTGTACATTAATTTGTCCAGTTTACTTGATTTAATGATGCAGTGATGAATGACTATTTTGAAGTGATAGCATTGCTTATTTTAAGACAGGCATCAAACTCACGTGGTCACATTATGTATTGTGATTCCCCCCTCCCCATTCACTAAAACGGGGATGGGCATGGCCAGCACATGATGCATCCAGCCCCTAGGCTGTGAGTTTGACCCCCCCTGCTTTAAGTGTTCTGTACTTGTGAAACCAAAACTGACACTACTGTATGCTCTTTTTTGCAGATAAGATAGTAAGGACTGCTGGCAATCTGAAGGATGTATATGTGTGTGAAGTAGGCCCTGGACCAGGAGGAATCAGTAGATCCATCTTAAATTCTGGTGTTGCAGACTTGTTATTAATTGAGAAAGATTCTCGTTTTGTTCCAGGACTCCAGGTACCCAAATATTTTCCAAAATGCCACTGTTGATAATTACCTTTTTACAGGTTAAATTGTATTACATTTTAATAACTAGTTATACTAATATATACTTGTGAGCTTGGTCCTGACCTTTGTGATCTTCTGGAAATCTCTTTAAATGGCTTTTTCAGCAAGACTTAGGTTCTCCTGCCAATGAGGAGCTTCTTTATCAGCTCATCTTGTATAATATTCTGATACTTTCCCTTTTATCATCCGGTTTTTATTTTAATTGTTTTAAATAGATGTTAACTGTTGATTTTATTGTATGCTGTTCAGAGCCACTTTATATAACATGGGTGGTTATATAAGATAGACAGACAAATGGACAAAGCTAGCCTTGTTTTATTTATTATGTTTTATATAAACATAATTGTTCCTAATTTGGATATCATGGCAGATTTGAAATGACAATTGTTGAGTCAATATTAACTCTTATTTTTCAAAAACGTCTGTAGTAAATTGCAAAGATGGGGGGGGGGGGAGAGAAAGATAAATCTACATGATGCACACTCCTGAAGCCTGGATCATGGTTAAGAAACTGGTGATGTCTGAAATAAATAATAAAGTAAGATTTTAGGAGAGGCAGAAACAGACTATGAATCTCTGAGATAGAAAAAAATTAATATAAAATATCAATGTACACTCAGAATGTGACTTGTGGGAAGCCTTCTCCAAATAATGTTCTCCAGAGGCATTAGGCAAAATACCAATTTTTCCCAATCAGAATAGTCAATTGTTATACACAGTTGAACTAATTTCTACTATATAAAAATCTACATTGAATTGTTTGGAATTGATAGCATATTATAATTCAACCGTTGTATTGATTTCTGCATCCTTGCTGTCCCTCAAGTCATTTCCCATATTGTTTCAAAATATCTGTTTCTCTAAAGCAGGGCTGTCAAAACTTGCAGCCCGCAGGATAGATGTGCCATACGTTGGCCACGCCTGGTTTGATGAAGGAGGAAAAAGTCATGATACGTCATGTGACATCACCATGACAACGTGAGTTTGATATCCCTGCTCTAAAGTAAATGGAATTTTTGGAGCTGTTCATCAATGAGGGGAACTACTTAAAATTGCCTGCCAGAAAGTGATAAGCAGGCTTAAAATGATAGAAACAAGTTTGAATTTAGAATCACTTAATTCAATTCTGCTTCAATTTTTAATAAGAAACAAATAATGATTTTGAACTTAAAATTAATCTTTGTAATATTGTTGCCTTTGTATACTCTTTGTGTTTGTGCAGGTTAGCATTTATTTAGTTTTCATTTTGGCACATTTGGTGATGTTTGGTATAACAAATAGAATCTCAAATGTACAAATTTCTTGCATTACAGATGCTAAAAAAAATTCATTTTTTAGGTTTTTCAAATGCAATTAAATAGCTTTATAATATTTTTTTCTCTTTTCAAAAATCTCAGTTACTGTCCGAAGCAGCTCCAGGAAAAGTCCGTATTGTCAATGATGATATTTTAACATATACATTCAATGAAGCTTTTCCTAAACATCTTTCAAAGAACTGGGAAGATGGTCAGTATGCTACAAATACAAATATTCAGAACATTTATTAAAATGAATTCACTACATGAGATTCCTATAGCAATATAGCGATAAGACTGGAAGTTAATTTGTATGTTCTATTTCTTAATTTTGCCAGTAACCTGTAATGATCCCTGTGATAGATACATTTTCCCCTAAGCACAGCTAAGGGCACATTAGTGCAAGATAAGTGACTGGTATTATCAAATTAATAAAGTCTAAAGTTTCATACCAAGTATTTTGTAGATCACAAATCTGGGGAATGAATTTAACTAGCAACTTAATATTATTCAGAATCATGTTTTAGCATTTATTCTGGGGTGGCTAAGTAGCATATCTGCTTGTTTTCTTAGATTAGAACAAATCCTATTTATAGATCTAGCAATGGGTGTCAAACTTGATCATGTCATGTGATGTCACGTGCTGTATCACAACGTTTTATGCCTTTGCAGAGTCAGGATCAGCATGGCCTGCACATGATGCATCTGGCCCATGGGCCACCAGTTGACACCCCTGGTCTGGGACATTTATCAAGAAGTCATCAGTTACTTACTAAAACTCAGAAGAGATGCTTGAATATTGCCTTCATAAGGTGTGCCTACAACAGCAATTAACTCTGAGTTCCTGTCCAGCCTTTTAAGCTATTGATGCAGAGACTTTGCATATTTGGATAGGATAAATGCCAAACATGAGGTCAAAACCTAGATTCAGGATTTTTTCCCAAAGTTAATTTTCCCAGCTTAGGTTAACAAAAAATACACCATTGTTTAAACTCTTAAATTTTCAAATAGGTCAAGAGACCTATTATGATAAATTAATAAAAAAATTATAACATGAGACTGATCTTTTAATTTTAAAAAATGTTTCATATTTTATTGGAATATATATTAAAAGTAGTGTTTATTAATTAATAGAATTTAATATATTGAGTTTTGATTCTGATTAAGGCTTATGATCAAGCAATTACATTTGTGTTTTGACTTTTGTCTTTTATAGAGCCTCCTGACATACATATTATTGGAAACCTCCCTTTCAGTGTCTCAACTCCACTAATAATCCAGTGGCTTGAGAATATATCTAATCGAGATGGGCCTTTTAGTTATGGTAGGATACGGATGACACTCACCTTTCAGAAAGAAGTTGCAGAGGTGAGTTTATTTTATTGAATTATATAGTTATTTAGCAATAAATAACAGCAATTGGTACATTAAGAATTATTAAGTTTAATTTGTTCTTGTAGCTTGGTCCATTTGTATAATGGGGAAGCAATAATACATTTGCTAGTTTAGAGAATGGACTTCACCATATAGGGTGTGTTTAAATAAATTATTTTGTTATCAGCTGTCTGTAGCAGTAGGACAGATTCTCTTCAATCTGCAAGTCCTGTGTATCTGCAGTTTTCGCTAGAGGTAGTAAAAGATCCCTTTAAGATAGTATGTGATAACTGCCTACTTGACTGGAAATGCATAAACTGGAAGTAATTCTATGGTTGCAACACAAAGCTAGTGGTTATCACTGTTTTTTTTAATTTCCTGCCTTTATTATTTTTATCAATAACTCAAGTCGGTTAGTATACCTACTGTTCCTTCCGCCTCCTACATCAGCATCTCCACATCAGCAACATTGTGAGATAGATTGGGCAGAGAGAGAGGTATTGGCCCAAAGACAACCTTTCATGCATAAGACAGGACTATAAAAGGTAACTGAAGGGGCAGGAAATAACAAAACCTGCATCATGATATTAATATAATTAATGTACTTGGATTAATGTACTTGGATTGGGATGAAAGTTCAAAAAGTTATTTGAATTTGTATTGTGATTATCATGACATGAGTTTTATCATTTCTTCATTATTATACAAGTAGTGCTTGGCTTATAGCCATAATTAGGATTAGAATTTTTGTTTCAAAAAGATTGTTGTTAAGTGAGCTGCATCCAATTTTAGGACCTTTTTTGCCACGGCTGTTAAGTGAGTCATCGAAGTACTTAAATAAATCATGTAGTACTTAATTGAATGCAGCTTCCTCCAGTGACTTTGCTTGACGGAAGCTGGCTGGGAAGCTCACAAGTGGCAATCACATGACCTCAGAATGTTGCAGTTGTTGAAAATACATGCTGGTTGCCAAGCACCCAAATTTTGATCACATGACTGTGAGGATGCTATGACACTTATAATTGCAAGGACCAGTCATGTCCTTTTTTCAATGCCATGGTAACTGATGAGTTGCTAAATGAATGGTTATAAGTTGACGACTACCAGCACAACATAAATTTTAATTATGCATCAATAGGCATTCATAATAGCAACACAGTTATTATCCTTGGCTGTACATTATTCTATTTTAACCCTGCGAGGAAAGTTTCATTGAATTGTGTGTGTAGGAATGGTCAAAATGATTTTGTGACATTGGCTGATTTTACACACTTTAAACATGCTACACAAAACAAGACACCAATAAAGAAACATTTTCTGATGAAGATAATCATGGCATAAAGAGTAGAGCTGATACAGGCAGTCCCCGTGTTACGGCTACAATTGAGTCCAAAATTTATGTTGCTAAGTGAAACATTTGTTAAGTGAGTTTGTCCATTTTATGATTTTTCTTGCCACAGTTGTTAAGTGAATCGTTACATTTGTTAAGTTAGTAACATGCTTGTTTAGTGAATCTGGATTTCCCATTGATTTTGCTTGTCAGTAGTTCACAAAAGCTGATCACCTGACTCCAGGACACTGCAACCATCATAAATATGAACCACTTGCCAAGCATCTGAATTTTGATCATGTGACCATGGGGATGCTGCAACTCTTGAGTGTGAAAAATGGTCATAAGTCATTTTTTTCAGATCCGTTGTAACTTTGAAGGGTCACTAAATGAACTGTTGCATGTCAAGGACTACCTGTACTTACATTAGTCCACAGTTCTGGGCAAATGGGTTTTGAATCAGTAAGGAGGGAGGTTTTTTTTGCTGTTCCCTTCCTTTAACAAGACAGAAAATGTACCAGTGCTGTGGAAAATGGGGGAAAAAACAAAAAATCTGCTGTTGAGAATTCTCTGAATTGATGCCAGAAATGTGGCTGAAAAATAGCATTTCAGAAGAATCTCTCAGCTGGAGCATTTTAACACACATCCAAATGGATTTCTTCCTCCCTAACTAATTCAATCCTGGAAATCTATTTCTATAACAAAAAGTTCTGTCCCAATAAGATGGGGTCCTGAATCTTTTTTTAAGTGTGCCTTTTGTAATGTGCGTTTTAAATTTTCCGTTTCTTTCCTAATGTTCTAGTTGAGTTTTAGTGATCATCAGTGCCAACCTCTGCAGATGGCGCGGTAGGAAGACAAAGCCCTTTTATCAAAACTTGGTTCCTGTAGTTTCTGGCATTTCAGTTCAGTTTTCTGAAATAATTGGTAGTGTGAACTGCTATTCTAAGCTTAGTGGTATGGCTGATGGATGAGAATTTTAGAGCTAACCAGGTTGGAAAAGGGGAAGAGCAGCCTCCTGGCATTTAGGCGGAAAGCGAAAGACTTAAGAACATAAATGCAGTCTGCTTTATATAGCAAGAGCCAGCTGTACATGCTTTCAAGTTTTCTCATATGTGACATGAAGATTATAGTGTTTTTGCATATAATGTAGTTCAAACGGGATGCAAAATAGCACAGTTGGTAAGCTTCTTATATTAACTGATAAGACTGATGTAACATAAAATCAGTGACACAATCATGATAATAGAATAAATTTGTCTTCATAGTTGTAGAGATATTTCTAATCTTTAAATGCTTCTTAATGCTAGCTGGTATGCTTCAAGGACTATATAAACCAGTCACTATATTAAGGTTATTTTTAATGGCCTCTATTAGTCTGATGGAAGTAAGGGAAAAGATTTCACGTCTTTGATATATCTAAAGGTTTTAGATATATCTGATTTACTTTTACTATATTACTATTTTTATTTTATTTTTTAATTATTTTTCAAGTCCTAACTTTTCCTAATCACCCATGTCATTTTGATTATCTTTTACATAGGTCAATAATTATTGTTTCTGTTTTGTTTTATTTTTTATTTTTAGACTTGTCAGTGTTATTGTTATTTTTTGTTATCACATTCCATGAAGTACAGGTAGTTCTTACTTAAAGACTGCCCTGTTTAGCGGCCATTCAAAGTTACAATAGTACTGAAAAAAGTAACTTCACGACTGGACCTTGTGCTTATGGCCATTGCAGCCTGTGATCGAGATTCAGGCCTTCACAACTGGTAGGCATTTAAGACAGACAGTGGCCCACAGTCATGTGATTACCATTTGCATGCTTCACAACTGGTTTCTAACAGTCAATGGAGAAGCTGCAGTAACATTGCAAGTCCTGATCATATGATTCCTTACTTAACAACACATCACTTAGCAATAGAGTTGTCATTAAGCAACAACTACTTGTAGCTGTAAAAGACATAGGGTATAGTTTTGAACTACTGGAAGAAAAGCAACATTCAAACAATTGTGGATCAAGTCCACTCCAAGAAACTAATTGGAGAAAAACTCCTTAGTTCACATGGAGATAAAAGGGAGGTGCACATTCCGACTTGCAAGATTCTGCCATTATAGATGTTCCCTAGAACTAGCTTTAGACATATATGGCATTGGTTTCTTAGTCTGATCTATTTTATAGGACTAACCGTAAGTGAGAATTGTAGACATGGTGTCAGGAAAGCTAAAGGCTACAGTGAACTGAGATTGCAAAGAAAGCCAAAGAACAACAAATATGTTCAGTCTAACAGGAAGTTAAAAATATCCAATATCCCAGATGGTTAATAAAGATGGCAAAATTTCGTCTTCTGCAACAAGAAATATGTTTCACTCTACCCCAATGAAGAGCAAGACTGACTTTAATTTTGCATTTGAAAAGTTTGCATTTGCATTTGAAAAATTCACATTGTTAGAATAGTATGAATTATATTCAATAGGAAATTAAAACAATTTGTTGATGTGTGTTTGAACATCTACTCATTATGTTCGAATAATTCTGTAGAATGCCTAATATGCCTGATGACTAAAGGAGAGACATTGTCAGCTTCAGCTTCAAAAAGCTGAAAAAGAAAATCTGGGAAAGTATAGGCCAATTTGACCAGTCAATTTGTGGAAAGTTTTTTAAAGCAAATTATAAAAAAAAAGTCAGTGTGTAAATCTTTAAAACAGTGTGATAATTACCAAACATTAATATGGATTTCTGAAGAATAAATCTTTTCAGATTAACTTTATTTAATTTTTCATCATCATCATCATCATCATCATCATCATCATCATCATCATCATCATCATATATTGGCCATGTAGTGTTTTATCTTCCTATGCCTTCATTCTGTTCTTCACTTGGTCTTTCTTGTAGGCCAGTTTGGTTTCTCCAGTAGTCAATAAGCGTTCCTGGCATACTAACTTTAGTGCACCTTCTTTATTGTCCTTCGGATACTCTTTCAAAGCCCTTTTTTCTTCTTCAATCATCTGATGTACTTGCAACAGTCCATGCCCCCCTATTTGGTAGGTAGAATCTGTCAATGTTGCTGCAAGGAAAAAGGTTCATTCTCATATGATTCATTGTCATTATTTTTTGATCCTCCTATCCATTGTTTTTAGTTCTCAGTGTGCACTCAGTGTGTATCTAAAGCAGATAATAACAAGACCTGACAAATGGCTAAGAGCAGGAAATTTAAAGAAAAAACCAAAGGATTAATTCTGGCTGCAGAAGACCAAGTCTTAAAAACAAATGCATACAAAGCCAGAATTGAGAAGACAGCAACAGACCATAAGTGCCATCTATGCAAAGAAGCTGAAGAAACAGTGGGCCACTTGTAAGTGGTTTGCAGTAAGAAGATCACACAGACTGACTAGAAGCAGCAGCATGACAAAGTAACAACAAGGGTCTATTGGAAGTTCCTCAAGAAATATCATTTGCCTGCAAGCAAGATCTGGTGGGACCATAAAATAGAGAAAGTCATAGAAAATGAAGTTCCTCTGGGACTTAGAATTCAAACAAACAGGCATCTGCCATATAATACCCCAGGCTTAACAATTGTTAATAAGAAAGACCAAAAAAAAGTCTGGATAGTGGGTGTGGCAGTGCCTGGAGACAGCAGAATAGAAAAGAAAGAACTGGAGAAGATCACAAAATACAAAGACCTACAAATTGAAATACAATGACTGTGGCAAAGGCAAGCAAGTGTAGTACCAATAGTAATAGGTACCTTGGATGCATTCCCAAAACAATTGGAGCACCACTTGAACACGATTGCCATTGACAAATTCGCCATCATTCAATTGCAGAAGGCAGCTTTACTTGGAACAGCTTCCATCCTGTGACAATATCTGTAATATTACCGATATCATTGCAGGATGAAAGCTGTTCCAAGTAAAGATTTCACACATCAAACATCCACTTCTGCCTATTCCAGATCTTTGGTAAGGACTTGATAGTTGACAAAAATGCCAAATCCAGTCTGAACATGGCTGACTGTGCAATGATCAATAATAATAATAATAGTAATAGTAATAATTTCGTTGGTAACCTATAAAAATGCTATATAGGTTGGTTTTAGTAATGCATTTGACAAAATACCATAGGACAGTAACTGTGGAAATGCCTTACAGTTTGTAAAAAATAGGTCTTAGAATAATTCAGATCACTGAATTATCACCATTATGATAATGGTGATAAAAATGGTGAAAAAAACAAAAATTTAAATTTTGGAAGCCCCAATGAAAGCACTGCTTCTAAATCGCAATCAGTAATGGTTCTAATTTATCCTATATTGATTGAGCCTCACTTTTGATAATTCAAAACAATTTATCATATGTATCTTTGCAAAATTTAAAATGGTTTCCCATTTTAATTGAAGATGTTCAGCACAAGCATCATCTATGATGAAACAGATCAACATAGCCTCAGAAAAACTAAAACAGTAGCAATAAGCAGTGGCAATAATTCAATCGTTAGCTCAAGAAAGAGAAAAGAATATTTATGGACAAACTTGGCCACTCAAGTGAGCTTTCAATAAGAAATAGATTTTTTTCCCCTGAGACTTCATATTTTTCCACGAAAATCATTTCATAATCTCTGTGTTACACTGGGAAGGCTTTACTTTTGCTAGACAGCCAAGAAACTTTTAAGTAGCAACAATGCTTGCTAAAAAATTTGAACCAAGCTTGTGATTTAGGCAAGAACCAGCATTTTGAACTGACTCCAGAAATACATTATTGTAGATCTAACTTAGCAGAAGTTTAAATTTCTAGAAGTTTTTCAAAAATAGGTCATGTAGCATTTTCAATAGCAGTCTATTTTGGTATTAGTTGGGCTTGCTTATAATAATAATTGTAATGTATGCTTGCATTTTGTTTGGAACTTAGCAGCTCCTAGACTGACTTGTAAAGTTATGGCAGAAAATTATAAAGATAACATTGTTCGTGTATTGACATATCCCTAGGTGGATATTCTAATACACATACTTTATAGGCCATTGAATTGTAGCATTAATGAAACTGTATAGAGACAACAATGATGTGTCTATTCAAAAACACAAAGTAGGCTAAAATATAATCCTTCCTGGGCTTAGAATTCCCTTTGTTTTAATATGAGCATTTTGTAAGTAAAAAATAAATAAATAGAACATTCATGTTGATTTATACACTGAATTAAAATGTTTTCTTCACTTTTTACATTTTTTTCCTAAAATACACTCTGAGATAGGTCCTCTTAAATATGTTTCCAAATGCTCCAGGATTATACAAACAAATCTATTTGAGGAATTTATTGCACTACTATGTTTAGGTTACTATGATTTTTTTGAATTCAAAAAGTATAGAAATACAATGGCGATAATATTGTATTTGCTTTCTTTTAGTTCAAGCTTGTTTTACTTATATGACAAATGTTAGCATCAGTAAAATGTAGACCTTCCATTAATTGTTATAGCAATAACAATAATATGATTCTATTACTGATTAACAGGCTGCTTTAAGGAGCACTTTTATTTGGTTGTGTTACATTAATGCTTGCACTCATTTACAAAAACATTTTTCTTCCACAGAGACTCACAGCTAGTACAGCATCCAGACAGCGAAGCAGGCTTTCTATAATGGCTCAGCACCTGTGCACTGTTAACAAAGGTTTCACAATTCCAGGTCAAGCTTTTGTTCCAAAACCAGAGGTCAGTCTGTTCATTCTTTTTGTATTAAAATCAGTGTTTGAAGCTTCATGCAGTTATTCATAAAGCTATTAGCAAGAAGACTCAGACCTATTCCAATTTCACCAAATATCCATGAAGGTTGTTGGATTAGTTCCAAAAATACTAAAGTAAATTTAGTAATAACAAGGCATTTACAATTGGGAGGGGATAAATTGTTAGTGAAAACGAGAGAGATTTAAAGGCAGGGTTCAAAAGGAAGGCAAATCAATAAAAGAAAAAGGAACGAGTGAGAAAATGTTCAGATAAATTCCAAGCACCCCAAAGATGTGTCAAAATTCTTAAGAGGTCTTGAGTAGTGGGAAGCCCTGTAGGGCTACCCCAAAGGAGCATCAAACTCTTAGTTAAATTATTTGTAGGATCTGTAGGAAATCACACATTTGTGGCAGCAATAAAGGTTGACATACTTCTGGGAAATCGCTATTTTGGTTCAATGTGTCACTTTGTGGAGACAAGATTTCCTTAGAGGTGACTGTGTCCTGATTTTGAGAATAACAACTCAAGTAAAATGTTATTCCAAAAAGAAATGTTTTCTAAGGTTTTCCTGAACCAGTTCCAAAACCAGTCCTATTATATTTCCTCTAATATCCAAAATAGAGATTTTGGTGATTATTTGTCTGTAATGATATATATGTCTCCTCTTTATTGCTGCCTTATTGCGATTTAGAAATTGCTGGTGATAATTGGTTTTCATCTAAAATTATGCAAAATGAAATAAATGGACTCAATGGGAGTACTTTCCCAGAACTTGGAGCTGCCCTTAATGAACATTCAGAAGCTACAACTAGTATAAAATGAAGTGGATTAGGCACTGATGTATGTATTCCTGTATCTTCAAGGGAATCCACTGCTTTGGTGGCTGGATTGGTTGCTAGACAGTTTCCAAGTATGATTCTTGCTGCTGATTGTCACTGTTAAGACCCAGTGTAACTCAAGACTTGGTTATCTAAGGGTCTCCCCATCCAACTAAATCAAATAAGGTTAACTCCTTCCAGATCTTACCTCTGTGAGATGGACATCTAATCTACCCTCCAAAGTGGGTAGTTTTGGTAGTTACTCTTATTCTATGGAACTCCCTCCTTCCAGAAATTTGGCCAGCCTTGTTCCTTCTTGGTTTTAGGCAAGGGGTAAAGGCTTACCTATTCCTGTTTTTCACAGGAGGAGAATATGCTATGATTGGAGGTGGGATTTGCAGACACATAACTTGTATATCTCTTAATTTCATTTTTTTTATTTTGTCATTCTTTCTCTTGTCAGTTTATAAATCTTGAAGAAATATTATATCTTGAAATTGTTAGCCTCCTAAAACCTTTGGGAAGGGATGGCATACAAATAAATAGCCTTGAAAGTGGCTAGTACCTTAAAAGTATATAGTACAAAAGTACTACTTTTGGAATAAATTGAGCAAATATCAGAATTGTCAAATTCCTTGGTAACAATATGCAAACAGCCTGTCATTGCCTTATTTCAGGGTATTTCTTCAACCTTTTGCAGCTAATTTCCCAATTTTCCCAATATTAACAAGGTCTGGACCTACTGTGGTGTTTAGATCGAGATTGGCTAAGTATTGCAATCTTGTTGCTCAGTAGAGGGTTAGAATAGCAGATGACATTGAGCTGAATGGTGAGATGGCCTACTGATGTCTTGACATGTATTTCATCATTGGTGATGTTGACTAGTCTGGTGAGAACTGGGGGACCATAAATTGCTGATCCTATATTTGAATGTTTCCTATAAGAAACATTCTGGCTTTCATGCGTTCCAAGCCAATGATTGATTATTAACTTTCATCTGTAAGGCAGAAGAAAATGGAATAGACTAGCTCTATTAACCAGAAATTAATTGTCCTGGTTTATTGATTGATGTTCTTCATTTGGGTTGGCAATGGATCGCAATTTTTGCCAATTGATTTTCTTTGGGAGATTACAGTGCTAATGCCAAACTCACCTTATGATTACTGATATAAAACTTCCCTTTTTACGATTTTGTAGTCCCTATAAATACCGTTATCTGTTCTGTTTTTTAATGCTCTTTTCATGTTAAATTAGTGGTGGTGATAAGACATGGTATGTCTGCAGAGAGAGTACTCTCTTTTCCTAAGAACTATTACTTTTCTCTATTTCTATGCAAGCAGTATTTATTTTGTTTTGATCTTGCTGGTGTCTTTTTTCTTGGAATTTGTCTCAGTTTGACAAAATACTTTAAATTTTTTTTTTTTTTGGTCAAACAATTAGATTGCGTGGTATTATGCCAGTGCAAGCTGTGTTAAAATATTTGAACGAGGTTCTTAATTTTTCCCCCCAAATATAATTAATTGTATTTCCAAAAATAAAATGGCTGGCACATAAAATATAACTAGATTATTAATCTATATTTGTTAAGATGCTAGCTGTGAATTCCTAGTTTTCCAAATGCAGCATATTCATTTTTGAGCTGTTTGCAATCATTTTCATAAGAAAATGATTTCCGTATAGAAGAAAATGGTGATATTTATTGGTTATCATTACAATGGCGGAAATGCACAGACTTTGAGAATCAAGATAGTTTTTCATGGGTATTTTTACAAAATGGCTATCATGGGGCCTTATTTTGAAACAGTTGCTATAGTGAAACACTTATTTCCAAGATGGCATACTGGTAAAGTTGTTCCCAGTTTGCTCATCACTTTTAGCTTCCAGAATGTCCTCTACCAGTCTACTACAACTTATTTGGGTCTTATATCATGAAACGATAACATCTTGATATTAATTGTTGAATTGCAGTTATAGTGCTGCTATAAAGTTTTTCCTGGTTTAGGATTACTTCTCTTCAAAGTTGAATTTTTGTCTTTGTTTTAAATGTACTTATGGTTACTTCTGCATATGTCTCAGAATTGGCACAAGCAGATGTTTGTGATAAAAATGAATCAGCATTTATACACTTACCTTTTCCTTTAGGGAAAAGAAGATTTGTGTGTGTGTGTGTGTGTGTGTGTGTGTGTGTGTATGTGTATGTCTATATGTATGTATATATATA